GTTTTGAGGTGCCCCAGAAACCCTTCTGGGGCTCCATGGTTTGTGTTGCTGCTGAGGCCCAAGGAGAGCTGGAATGGGTTCTGGGGTAGCCTCAGGAAGGGCTCCAGGGACAAAGGGGGACAGGAGGGTTGTGAACTCAGCCTCAGTCTCCTCTGGAATGAGTGGCCTGGATTTCTCCAGCTGTCAAGACACATCGTCCTCACCTCTGCTTGTCCTGGCTGAGCGTGGGGCCACAGAGCCCATCCTGTGTGCTCAGGGGTCAGAGTCTGCAAAAGGCTCAGGACACACAGCTCTGGAGCTGGCCAGGCTGGATTCTGGCTGTGTCAGAGCTTGACTTTGATTCTCACTTTGAAAACAATCCAAAGCAGCCTTGTGTGGAGTTTAGGACTCAGATCCATTCAAAACCCCCCAGGCTCTGGAGCCAGGAACTGGTGTCTGGACCATCCTTCATCTCTGTGTCCAGTCAGGGAAATGAAAGTTTCCCAGTGCCAGCAAACCGTGGGAAAGTGCCCCCATTCCCAGTGGTGGGAAGCTCAGGGAGCTCTCCCTGCTCTCTGTGGGCTCCCCACAGCCCTGGGTGCACCCACAGCAAGGAAGCTGGGAGAACATTCCCAAGGCAGCCTGCTAACCTGTGGATCCTCCCCAGCTCCTGGCCAAGGACTGGCCCTTCGGCGTGCAGGTCTGCAAGCTGGTGCCCTTCATCCAGAAAGCCTCTGTGGGCATCACAGTGCTCAGCCTCTGCGCCCTCAGCATTGACAGGTGAGACACAGCAGCCACCCCTGCCTGCTCTGCCCTGCCCTGTCATTTGGTGGGAACCAGAGGCAGAACCAGAAGCCCATTCCCAGGCCAGTGCGCTCATGTGGAGCTGCAACCCAGCAGGAACTCTCTGGTGACAGAGCTGAAATCCTGCTGGGAAACGCTGAGGGGAGGATCATGGTGTGGGTGGGGTGGTGAGGAAGAGTGGCCAAGGACAGCCCCCATCCCATCCCATCCCATCCCATCCCATCCCATCCCATCCCATCCCATCCCATCCCATCCCATCCCATCCCATCCATCCTCTGAGCCTCTGCTGCCCATCCCCACACCTGGGAAGGTTCAAAGGTGGAGGGAAAGGACCTTTGGGGACAATTCTAACCCACACCCTCAGCTCCCCTTCCTGGCTGCTTTTCTCTCTCCCATCTGCTCCTGTGCTGTTCCCACCCTGGGCAGGTACCGAGCCGTGGCGTCCTGGAGCCGGATCCAGGGCATTGGGATCCCCATGTGGAAGGCTGTGGAGGTGCTGCTGATCTGGGCAGTGGCCATCGTGCTGGCCGTGCCCGAGGCCATCGCCTTCGACATGGTGGAGCTGAGCTACTGGGAGCAGCACCTGTGGGTGTGCATGCTGGCCTCGGA